AAAATTATCAATAAAATTCTGGCAAATTGAATACAAAAACATATAAAAAAGATTGTGCGCCATGATTAAGTGAGATTCATCCCAGGGACGCAAGGTTTGTTCAACATAAGGAAATCAATAAACATAATTCATCACATCAATAGACTCAAAGATAAGAATAATATTATCATCTTAATAAATGCAGAAAAAGCATTTGACAAAATACAGCACCCCTTCATGTTCAAAACACTAGAAAAACTAAGGATAACAGAAACATAGCTCAACATCGTAAAGGCTATCTACACTAAGCCCCGGGGCCAACATCATTCTAAATGGAGAAAAATTGAAGACATTCCCTCTAAAAACTGGAACAAGACAGGGATGCCCTCTTTCACCACTTCTATTTAACATAGTTCTTGAAACACTGGCCAGAGTAATTAGACGAAAGAAATTAAAGGGATATGTATAGGAAAAGAACTTAAATTAGCATTATTTGCTGATGATATGATTCTAAAACTAGAAGACCCAAAAAGCTCCACCAGAAAACTTCTAGAACTAGTAAATGAATTCAGCAAAGTAGTAGGTTATAAAATCAACACCCATAAATCAAAGGCATTTCTGAATATCAGTGACAAATCCTCTGAGAGGAAAATGAGGAAAACTACACCATTTACAATAGCCTCAAAAAAAATAGTTGGGAATCAACTTAATAAATGAGGTGACAGATCTATATAATGAAAACTACAGGACCCTAAAGAAAGAAATCAAAGAAGACCTTAGAAGATGGAAAGATCTACCTTGCTCTTGGATATGCAGAATTAATATTATTAAAATGACCATATTACCAAAAGCACTAAACATATTTAATGCAATTCCATTCAAAATCCCAATGGCATTCCTCATATAAATAGAAAAAGCAGTCATGATATTCATCTGGGAAAATAAGAGAACCAGAATAGCTAAAACAATCCTTAGCGAAGAGTGAAGCAGGTGGCATCACTATACCAGACTTTAAACTATACTACAGAGCAATAGTACCAAAAACAGCATGGTATTGGCACCAAAACAGACTGGTAGACCAATAGTACAGAACAGAGATTAACCCAAAAAATCACAATTATCTTATATCATACAAAGGCACCAAAAACATGAATTGGAGAAAAGATAGCCTCTTCAACAAATGGTGCTGGGAAAACTGGAAATCCATATGCAACAAAATGAAATTAAACCCCTATCTCTCACCATGCACAAAACTCAACTCAAAGTGGATCAAGGACCTAGGAATTAAACCAGAGACTCTGCGTCTAATAGAAGAAAAAGTAGGTTCTAATCTTCATCATGTGGGATTAGGCTCCAACCTCCTTGATAAGACTCCTATAGCACAAGAATTAAAACCAAGAATCAATGAATGGGATGGACTCAAACTAAAAAGTTTCTTCTCAGCAAAAGAAACAATCTATGAGATGAATAGAGAGCCTACATCTTGGGAGTAAATCTTTACCCCTCACACATCAGATAGAGCTCTAATCTCTAGGGTATATAAAGAGCTCAAAAAGCTAAACACCAAAAAAACCAAATAACCCAATCAGTAAATGGGCCAAGGACCTGAACAGACACTTCTCAGAAGAGGATATTCAATCAATCAACAAATATAAGAAAAAAAATGTTCATCATCTCTAGCAATTAGAGAAATGCAAATCAAAACTACTCTAAGATACCATCTCACTCCAGTCAGAACAGCAGCTATTATGAAGACAAACAACCATAAGTGTTGACAAGGATGTGGGGAAAAAGGCACACTCATACATTGCTGGCAGGACTGCAAATTGGTGCAGCCAATATGGAAAGCCGTATGGAGATTCCTTGGAAAACTTGGAATAGAACCACCATTTGACCCAGCTATCCTCTCCTCAGTCTATACCCAAAGGATTTAAAAACAGCATACTACAGGGACACGGCCACATCAATGTTTATAGCAGCACAATTCACAATAGCTAAACTGTGGAACCAACCTAGATGCCCTTCAGTAGATGAAATTAAACCCCTATCTCTCAGCATGCATAAAACTCAACTCAAAGAGGATCAAGGATCTAGGAATTAAATCAGAGACTCTGTCTAATAGAAGAAAAAGTAAGCTCTAATCCTCATCATGTGGGATTTAAAAAATGGATTTGGGGCTGGGGATGTGGCTCAAGCAGTAGCGCGCTCACCTGACATGCGCGCACGCTGGGTTCGATCCTCAGCACCACATAAAAAATAAAATAAAGATGTTGTGTCCACCAAAAAGTAAAAAATAAATATTAAAAAATTCTCTCTCTCTCTCTTTAAAAAATGGATTAAAAATGTGGCATAAGTACACAATGGAATATTATTCAGCAATAAAAGAGAATAAAATCATGGCATTTGAATGCAGTTGGAGAAGATAATGCTAAGTGAAGTTAGCCAATTAAAAAAAATGGTGAATGTTTTCTCTGATATAAGGTGACTGACTCATAGTGGGGTAGGGAGAGGGAGCATGAGAGGAATAGACAAACTCTAGATAGGGCAGAGGGGTGGGAGGGGAAGGGAAGTGGGAGGAGGTTAGCAATGATGGTGGAATGTGATGGACATCATTATCCAAAGTACATGTATGAAGACACGAATTGGTGTGAACATACCTTATATACAGAGATATGAAAAATTGTGTTCTATATGTGTAATAAGAATTGTGATGCATTCTGCTGTCATGTATTTTTTTTTTTAAAAAAGCAATAAAAAAAAACTGGTCAAAGGACTGGGTTGTGGCTCGGTGGTAGAGCACTTGCCTGGTATGTGTGAGGCACTGGGTTCAATTCTCAGCAAAACATATAAATAAATGAATAAAATAAAGGTTCATTAACACCTAAAAAATTTTTAAAAAAGAACTGGTCAAATACTTGACATGTTCATAAGATAAACATCTTGGTATCCAACCCCAGAATACCATGTGGCCACAAGAGGGAAAAGCTCTACATTCCCCAACATGCAAAGACCTTCAGGACATCCTGCCCACTGAGTGAAAATGGGCTGCAAAGCCATGGGTGTGTGACCCTAGGTACGCAAAACAGTCTTGAATCTGATTATCTGTGTTGGAATAGAGAGATCTGGAAGTCTGTTCACCAAAGGACTGGCACTAATTTTTCTTTGGAAAAAATTAGTTGAGGGATTTTAATTTTCCTCTCTACATGTTTCTCTATTGTCTGAATTTTCTGAGAGTATACACATTTATTTTTAACAAAGCAGAAAAAGAGAAATATGGGAAGAAATGGCATGTCCTCTCCAACCCCGAGCCTGCCTTTGTTCTGTGGTCACAACCCAGGTGATTCCAGGGTGGAGACTGTGCAGCTCTACGTGGGGAACCCTGGCCTTGGGTCTGCACCTGAGCTGTAGCAACTGGGCCAGAGGCTCTGCTGGCGGGGGTGGGAGGCATCCTGGGAGGCATTAGGAGCTCAAGCTTCTAGTGGTGTGAGTGAGAGAAGCCCTGGTGCCCTTTACCCCTCATTTAGCCAAGCAAGGCTCTGCTGTGACGAGTCACCCAAGATCTTCCCTGGCAGGAGGAGCCGTGCAAGCTACCCTTGCCTGCTGGAGGAACCACCTGTGGTGGGAAGGCTAATTGCTGGCTGGCCAGGAGAGAAGGGGTCAGGGGCTGGCCCCAAGAACAGCCTAGGACCTGAAGGAAGCATGTGCATGGGTGCGAGACAGAGGACAGCTGGGTAAAAGGAGGACAACTGAGCAGTCCTATGGGTGCTGGGGACCCAGAAAGAAATGGAAGTTCAGGGTTAGGGAAGAAGAATGCAAGGGCTTCAGCTGCCTTAGGTCTCTACAATGCTCATGTCCAGGCGGGAGTGTGGAAACCCACCCCCCTTGAAAATGCCTCGTTCTCCTCTGAGCCAGCTATTCCCATGCTTAAGAACCATCTACGGCTCTCAACTGCCTGAATCATCTATCCCAATTCCAACTCTGCATTCAACGTTTTCCTTGGTCCCATCTTGGCTCTAATTTGCTTTGCGGGCCACATTGCCTCTCTTTCTCTCCCCACCCATCCCTCCTTCTGAAGCCAGAATTAAACAGGCAGTCAGTATAGATAGATAAATCGAGTCAGGTCTGATCAAGGAGGCCAATTTTGAGTGAGTCTGGCAAGTTGGAGACTGTCTCCTGAGGGATTGAAATGTTAATTCCTTCAGAGCCCTTCCTCCACCCTTATCAAAACCTGCCCCTGCTCCAGCCTGTTGCCAGGGTAACCTGTCCCAGGAATTGCCCCTCCTACAGGGAGCTTAAGGTGGTTAATTAATGTGTCCTGGGCTGCTCCGTCCTGCCTTCCCCGCTCAGCCCACCTGTTTCCCACCTTTTGGCCAACCCACCAGCATTCCAGGGCCTGGCCACAGTAGGCAGGAAGGAGAAAGATAAGGGGAAGAGGGCAGGAGAGCAAAGGAAGCCTGGGACAGAAACAGGGCAGAACACCTCACTTCTTGGGATACCAGGATACCAGCCATGGCCCCCTTCTCCCTCCCGGGAGAAGTCTATGTTACCCCTTTAAAAATAAGCCCTGCTTTATGTCTTGCCTTGGTGTGCTTCTCTAATGTTCAAACTTCAACGTGTGGGGAGCAGGACTCACCGATAACCGGGTTATCACCTCCCTACTCCCTGCCCATCACAGGGCCCATGTTCCCTGGTCTTTCTCTTTTTGCTTGTGCTGGCCCCTCTGCCTCTTCCCACACCTCCTCTCCTATCTACTAAACTCCTATTAATCTTTTAAGTCTGAGAAGCCTCCCCACTTATCCCACCAAGCTGGCCCCTGCAGAACCTTCTGGGGCAGCTGCTATAGCCCTTGCCACCCCACTCGGGCAGTTTTCATGTCTTCCCCATTTCCGAGGGAGCTGAGGACAATTTTCAGGACAACTTTCTGTCTCAACGTGGGTCAGCACCATGTTCCGAGCCCCCAGGCTGCAGCAGGCCCACGGCAGGCACTGGGCATGTGTGGTGAGTGGTGGGCGCTGCCGTACCTTTCTGCTCAGGAGCACTGCTGATGGTGAAGGGGTGCCACTCATAGCGAGCGATGGTGGGGATGTTCAAGTACAAGTAGTCCCCAGGCCTATAGTGGAAGAGAGGGGGCCGCTGGATGATGAGATGAGTGACCTGAGAAAGAAGAAGGAGGCCAGGTCATCCTCTCTATACTGGAGCTGCCAGGGGCATCAGAGCGAGAGGGCAGAGCCTGGGCCACCCCTTCCTCCAATGGTGACACTGTCTCTGCCTTTAAGTGGGACTCACCTTGAAGCCAGCCTGCTAGCCTAGGGATGGGTGAGACTTAGGGGAAGGACAGTGGCGCTGCGCTAAAGGGTTTTTAACCCCACTTCTCCCTCCTGGGCTTGAGACTTCCATAGCACTTCCTGTTAGCACCTGGCTGGCATCCCACTGCAATGGGCTTCTCTCCTTGAGCGACAGCATCCTCCTGGACACTAGCTCTAGTTTATTGGGCACTTACTATGTACCAGAGCTGTGAGGAGCACAGTGAGCAAGAGTGCGAGGCCCCACAGCAATCTTCTGATATAAATACTGGTCTTTCCCACTTTAGGGACAAGAAGCTGAGGCTCCGAGAGTTTAAATAACTTGCCCAAGGCCACCAGGCAGGGGGCAGTGGGATATAACTCCACCAGAGGCTGTCTGTCTCCAGTGCCTGGTCACACAGGGCGCTTCATCATTCCGCATCCTGAGTCCTCAAACTGCAGCTGTCCAGAGCTGACCCGCCCAGCACTGCCTCTTTTTTCTCTGTCAATGGTGCCACTCTGACACCTGGGAGGCGGCCTTGGCTCCTTCCTCACTCACCCCAAAATGCAGCGCTACCTCTTGAGTTTTCTGTGGTAGGTGCCCCGCCATCCCATGGCTACTGCCTCAGGGTCAAGGCCTCACAAGCTATGGGCTTCATATTTGCTAGCGCTTCCCAATGGCTCTTCTCCGAGACACTTTCCTCAGAGCAAATAAAGAAATCTAGCTAGAGTATGAATTGTCCATGTTTGCCCCACTTCACCACCATCTCCTCCTACAAGTGCAGGGGTTCTAGCGGCCTGCAGGGCAGGATCCAAGCCTCAGAGGTCTTTCATGGCCACACCCTGCCCACCTCTCCAGCTTCTCCCTTGGTTCCAGCCATGTCAAATTCCTAGAGGTCCCTCAAGTACAGAGTGCCCCTTCACTGCCCCGGGGCCTTTTCTGAGCTATTCTTTCTCTTACCAATACCCTTTCCCAACTTTCATAGCTAGAAAATTCTTATCCAACCCTCAAAACACTGAGGTGGCATCACCTCCTTTATTGATTGATTGATTGATTGAAGGCTTCTCTGACCTCCCAAAGACAGGGATTTAGTACTTTCTTACACTCTGCTTCTCTCTCCAATACAGCTCTGCTCTATGTCAAGGGTTGACTCTTAGAGAGCAGGCGGTGCCTGTGTGACTTATCACAGGCCTGCAACCTTGCAGTCACTTAATATATTCTTACGGAGCTGAATTGGGATTTTCTCCCTTGTCCTGGCCTTTTGCTGTCTGTCCCATCACTCCTCTTCCTAAAGGGTCATACCTGAAAGGCTGGGCCGGGTCTCGCATGGTGTGGGTTTCCTCCATTACCCCGGGCTGCAGTTGTACCAATGTGTATTTCTTTGGGGTCTAACAAGGTGCCCAGCGCTCTGCCCTATCACCCGCCACTCAGGGTTAGAGGAAAGCGCCCCCCCTTGCACCTTGGAGGGGAGGAGGTTGACTTCCACAATACTCAGGGGTGCCATGCGGGACTTGATCAGCCCCATGGCCTTCTCTAGGAGGAACAAGATGCCGGGGACCAGAAGCCACTTCCAGAAGTTAGGCCCATGCAGGATGAGAAGGATCCACAGGGGCAGGTAGGACTGGTGGGTCCAGTAGAACACCTGTGGGGATATGAGGTGGTCACTGCCAAGCTTGAAGCCTGAGGGTAGCACAGAGCCAGGGCTCAGGGCCATCTTCAAAGCCCAGAGCCTTGACTTTCTCTCGGGACAGGGATAGGTAAGAGGCTGAGGTAACCGAGGCGCATTGGTTCTTTGTTCTGGGGCTTGACGGAGGGAGTCTGGAAGGGAAGATTCTGATACAGAGGCAAACATCTGAATGTGCCTGGCAATGTTCTGGGCAAAGCAGAGTGCCCACAAAGGGATCATGGACACCAATGTCCCTGTCCACTGGCCCCTACTCAGGGAGAGGGGAAAGACAGCAGTGGTTTCCTGGGAGGGGAAAAGAAGGAAGACAGTTTAGTGCCTGCTCTACCACCAGCTAGGGGACCTTGGGAGAGTTCCTGACTTTTCTGAGAATCAGAGTCCTCATCTGTCAAATAAGGATGTGGGCTCCTGCTTCAAAGCCTGTTGCTGCCACAGTGGGGATCCATGGCTTCTGTTCCTGATGTGGCCAGTTCAATCCAGGACACAGTTACGGTCTCCAAACCAAGCTGGCCACGACCTTCTAAATCCTGAGCAGACTGGAGGCAGGAAGTGAAGAAGGAACGGACATTTTCAGAGCACTGTGTGCCAGGTATAGGACCAGAAGCTTCGCATATACTACCTCACGAACTTCCTAAAATAATGTCAAAGGTGAAGGATTAGACCTTCATTTTATTGATGAGGAAACTGAGGCTCAGAGAGGCTGAGTGAGCAGAAAGTGGTGGAGTGGGGATTTGGACCCTGGCAAGCCTGAGTTTCTTTCCCCCTGTGCCCTCTGAGCCTGACTTATACCAACTGGGGCAAAGGGGTAAGGTCACAGAAAGGCAGAATCTGCCGTCTTCAGCTGGCACATGTGAACTGGGCCCGACGGCAGAGCCCAGATGGCACACAAATAGCACGCAGACCAGCCTGGGGCTTCCTGAGCTCTGCAGCAAGTCAGAGGGGACACAGCAAAAAAGGAAAGTGGGTTATATACAAAGATATGAAAAATTGTGCTCTATATGTGTAATAAGAAGTGTAATGCATTCCGCTGTCGTGTATTTAAAAAATAAAAGGAAAGTGGGAACCCAGCTTGGGGAGAGGCAAAGGGGTCAGGGCTGGGGCACCTGGAAATGGCCGCTCCTGCGGACGCAGGGGCTGGAGCAGATGACCATGAGCAGCAGCAGCAGCAGCAGTGCAACGCCCGTCGGGGAGGCTGAGCCATGCACCCAGCCGATGCCAGGCCGCGTGGTGAGCAGCAGTTCCCAGAACTGGAAGGGGCTGGCCCCGGACTGAGCCAGGAGTGCTGCAGACAAGCACAAGACCACTCTTGCACCTGCCTTGCCTCTGGGACCCTCTGCATCAAATACTGGCCCAGGCAGGGACTTTGGCTCAGAGTGCTGGCCCACCCTGGGCCCCTCTGCTTCCCCTCTGCAGGCAGGCAGGACACCCAGGGGCTGCACCCATGTTCAGAGCTGGAGCTGTGTAATCCAGGGGTTTGTGAGGCCCAGGTTCCCCCCAGCCCTCCCCTAGACCACTTACCAAAGTTTACAACGTGGGCCACAGTGTGCACAAGGGACAGTCCCACCACCATGTAACCCATGAGCTGGTGGAACTGGATAACGTAGTCCAGGGGCAGGACCTGAGCCAGCCATGTGGCCCGTAGCCACGTGAGGCAGCGCCTGAGCATCAGCACCTGCGGGTAGAGTGGCAAGAGCCCTGCCCAGCAGCTCCCACTTGTCCTTTCCTCAGCAGGGTGTGCCTACGTCCCCCTGAGCTGCCTGGACTTCCTGAACAGACCCCCGCTGCTCCCCAGCCTTTGGTGCTCTCTGAGGTCCACAGCTGGGGTCTCTAAAGGAGAGTCTTCAGAATTAGGGTGAGAAGAAAACGCTAGAGTGTCTGACTGTGTTGTTTTCTATCGAAACAAAATGAGAAACGTAGAAACTTTCATTAACGTTGAACATCTGCATTGACAAGGTGCCTCTTTAGTGCAGATGTCAGATGGACACTTGGCACGTGCAGTTCTCAAGGTGTCCTGGGGGAAGATCCCACTTTCCAAAATGCAGGGCAGTTGGCGCAGGCTCCTCACTTGATCATTGCGATTGGTGGATTTATGTGTGCCTAGATATGTGGACCCACAGACTACAGTGTCTGCTTTAACTAAATGAAGCTAACTACGCCCCCTACCAAGGGCAGGCAGCTTAAGAGGATTCACTGCTGGGAAGCTGCAGAGTGGAAGTAGCATTAACAAAGCAAGAGTGAGAGATCAAGAGAATGAGCCATGTGCCGCACATTCCTGGCATGAAGTCTGTCAACTGGTTATGGGGTTGAAACAAAGCCCACTCTGGCAAGAAGCTGATAATTCCAGGAAGTATGTTTAGAATAGAGATGTGCATCCCTGATGGTGAAGGGAAAGTCTGGCCTTACAATGATATTGTGCCAAAGCTGTATTAGCTAAGAGACTAGTTCATGCATATAGTAAAGCATATGAGGGGTTTTTGTTAGTTTTGTTTTAATTGCAGGCATGTGAGATACAAAATTCTTGGAGACCAATTCCATGGTGCAGAGGATCACATTGGGACTTAAATTAGAGGTGACCTGAAGTTTTTTTCTCTCTGAATGGAGCCCAGCAGAGGCTTTACCACAGGGTTGTTGTGAGGACCAAATGAAATGTATTCATCACCATGCCTGATACATAGGAAGTGCACTAAATTGCCAGTTATGTTATTCCTTACTGGCTGTGCAACTGTGGACAAGTCACTGTCCCTCTCTGGGCCTCAGCTTCCATCTCTGGGTGCTGGCCCAGGTGATTTCTAAGATGCCATCCTGCCCTGCTATTTCTAGGTGTCTGTATGTGAGAACCCACATTCTCCCCCGACCTGCTTCCCTGCAACATGCCAGTGTAGCCCTACCGCAATGAAGCTGCAGTTGAAGTTGAGGCACTGGCCACAGCCTTTGGCCACCATGATGCTGGCACCAAGGGCCCGGTGTGCATTGGCCGCCAGCACAAAGAGCAGCACTTGGAGGCCAGTGTAGGTGGCCAGGCAGAGCAGCTGGTTGCGGTGGGCGTGGCCTGTGCAGAGGACGGCGGTTGGCAGGTGGTGTGAGCCAGCAGGCAGCACTGCAAGACAGGGGACTCTGCTCAGAGGGATGCAGTGGGGCAGGAGAGGGGAAGAATCTGTGTGGGCTGTGAGGGTCACCTAGAGACCCCCACCTGCTGTGGCCCACCAACTCTTTGGAGCTGTGCAAGTAAGCCAGCTTCCTTCCACGCTAGGAAACAGAGAGGTCGAGACTTGGTCACTGTCACACAGTTAGGTGGAAATGGAATGGAACTCTGGTGTGTTGGATGTCACAACCACAGCTATTTTTTATTATTATTATTATCTCTATTTACTTCTCCCATTTAAAAAAATGGCAACCAAAAAGGAGAGAAGAATCTGAGATACACTTTGGTAAGTAACCCAGAAGAAAGTTAAGACACAAAAAGAATGGATTGCAAGATTGGCACTTTTCAGACAAACTTGGGTCTGCGGTCAGACTCCACTCTTATTTTCTCCACAGGATTTACTAATTGTGTACTTTTCTACTTTGTTTGTATATTGATATGAATTGCATGTCTCCAAAATGTCTCCCAGCAGAGTTGAGAACTCAGTCCCTGCCAAGCACTGCCCTTATTTTGAATGGAGCTTGATGTGTGGTGGCTGTTCAGCCAATATTTGTTGCTAATTATTTGTGTGATCCTAGGCAAGTTATTCAGAAGTAATTTCAATTCCTTTGAAAAAATAGGCATTGTTATAAAATGCATTATTGCATGTGAAAGTGCCCCCTGCACGTAGTAGGTGCTTAATACTGTGAATTGATTCTGAACAGACCGTGCAGAAAAAATGGAGACAAAACAATAGCTGCTCTCGGGCCAGATCTTTATTCCCTGGAAAAAGGACACATGGGGACTACGCTGGGAAGGCGCCCGCCCCGCTCGGGACCTGGGTCTAGCCCCGACTCGGGCAGCGCCCGAGCCCCGCAGCGTACCTGATGGTCAGGTTCTCCATGACGCCGGGGAACTGCTGCAGCTCGTCACGGAGTTCGTCGAAGGTGATGGCACCGCTGCCGTCCTTGTCCGCCGATTGGAAGAGCGCCAGCGTCAGCTGGTCCAGCTTCTCCTCCGGCAGCGAGATGGCGCTCTCGCGCAGGCACGACCGTAGCACAGTGCGCAGCTCGTCGGGGTCGATGGAGCCGCTGCCTGTCCCGGGTGAGGACGGAGAGAGGGGGGAGAGGGCGGAGCTGTGGCAGCCCTGCAGAAGCCCTGCAGATGCCCTGCACTCACATTGTATTGGGTAAGGGATGTTTTCTCGTCACCCACCTTCAGTTTTCTGCCAACCATTTCCCTTTAGGCGCAAAGACAAAGCAAAGGACCAAATGTCACCTCCGTGCTGCTCAGAAACCTTCCATGGCTCCCTACTGCCTAGCTCAACAGAAATGAGGGCCTCCTCAAGTCTGGAGAATCTTTGACCTCAGTGGATGGCTTTCTCCAGAATCAGTGGTATCCTCGCTAAGTATCCTTCAACTTCCATGATGATCTGCCTAGAAAAAGTACTTGCTTAATCTATAAGTAGCTGTGCACTCAGACTTCATTATCCATGAGGCCAACCGAATATGGGGTGGTGTTGAGGAGAAGGGCCCTGTTGCTCGCCAACTTACAGCAGAATGTTTATCATGTTGTGGAGAGGCCACAGCTGGGCACTCCAGCCCAGCCATGTGGCCTTATGTAGACATGGGTGGCTAAAAGTGTGATGGACAGCCCAGTGCACTGGCACACACCTGTAATTCCAGTTACTTTAGAAACTGAGGTAGGAAGTTTGAAAGATCAAAGCCTGATCAATTTAGTGAGATACTGTCTCCAAATAAAAAGTAAAAGGGCTGGGGATATGGCTCAGTGGTAGAGTGCCCTGGGTTCAATCCCCAATACTTTAAATAAATAAATAGTAATGGGTAAAAGAAGTCAAAACACCTAAAATAAGATTTGGAACATTTTTTCTCTAATTATGTTCCATTTTTTAAAAATGTTCATTCTTCCTAAGCAGCAGGACAGGACTGGGATGAATGTTTGCTTGCACTGCTTTAGATGTAGACACAGCCACGGTAGCATCCTGCTTCTGCCCCTTGCTGTGTTATGGTGGCTCTAAGTCTTTAGAGTATAGACTCTCTCTTTGCCCATCTATCAAATGGGGATAATAATTTCTCCCTCCAGAGTTGGTTCAAGGATAATGGACAATTGTGAAACATCTAATACAGTGTCTGAAAGAAATTGCATATACATGGGAATTTTTTTTTTTTTTGCAGAGGGGAGGGGTTACCGGGGATTGAACCCAGGGGCATTTGACCCCTGAGCCACATTTCAAACCCTATTTTGTAATTTAGAGACATGGTCTCACCTCACTTTTGCTGAGACCGGCTTTGAACTCAGCCTCCCAATCTGCTGGGATTATAGGAGTGTGCCACCATGCTTGGTCGCTCAGTTTACATGGAAATTCTTATTGGTATTGTGATCATTATTTGGGCCCAAGTCAAAGCCCACAATCACATTACAATGTAGAGTCTAACATACCACTTTCTGACCACAAAACCACCAGCTTTCTTTCTCCCACCTTTGTCCTGAAGTGGCACCCCCTTTCTCCACTGAAAAGAAATTTTCACCCAGACTGATTTTAGGACTGTCAGCAAAAGAGTTTCTGCAGAAGAGTTCAATGTAGATAAACTTCCTATTTTTGTATAACCCTGTTTTCTTGGCCACTAGCCAAGAAGATACCATCCCTCCAGGTGCTGGATACCCCCTTACTAGTTTTTCACAAACATATCCAGTATAGTACTTTGAAGAAATGTGCAAACAAGGCTCGGGCCTTGATCTGGGATTCACAGAGATGTCTACATTTTTAAGAGAAGTTACCAACTGGGCTCCATGGTAACAGCTGGCAGGGAGAGAATAGAAAGGGGAGAAGAAGCTCTCCCCTTCTCAGGTTTTGTCCTTGAAGGGTTAATTTGACCAAAACAGTGAAAGAAAAAGCTGCTTTTATGTGAACTTCTGTATACTGTGAACTTCTGAGCCCCTCCTCTTACATGCTGGGTATAAAACTCTGAAACTCCCTGAACTCGGGGTTCAGGGGATTAATTGATTACAGCAAAAGCTGTGCCCTCTGAACCTGGCTGCAGCCAAATAAAACTGTTTCCTGCTATCTTCGTTGCCTTGCCTCCTTTGTCCCTGAAACAGTCCCCCAAGGCAAGGTATACATTTCTTCTTCCTCCAGTTACAGACCAACCCCTCCTTATCAGGTCATTGATGACCCCCCAGGTGTGAGCAAAATTTGGTATTTAGGAACAGCTAGTGATGAGGGGCCCTGGGAGACTGGGAAGGGGGCTGGGGAAGATGCTCAGGAAGTAGGCATGGTCAGCAACTCTGGGGGTTTCTCTAGTCCCATTCCCACCTGACCCCATCTAGCTAGACCTCATTCCTGGAACCTGCTCCCCAGTTGTATGGGCTGTTGACCATGCCTGCTTCCTGAGTGTGTCGGAATTGACATTTAAATTTTTGGAATGCAAATCCAGTCCTGTCATTCCCCTGCTCAACACTTTTTGATGGCTCCCCATTGCTCATTGAACTGAGACTTGAGACTCCAAACCATGGCCTTTGCACTTATTAAAGGCAAAAATGGGAAGAGGCACTTAATAGAACACTCTTCTCTCAGCCTCTACCAGAGCCCCTCCTGTCTTCCAGCTCCTCCTTTCATTCTTCACATTAGCAAATGGTAGTACTGCTCCCCCAGCCCACCCGCCATAGAAATCAAAGCAGAATAAATCAGCGTCCACACTCTTCTGCAGAAAAAGCTAGCACTCCAAGTGGCTGGCTCTGGCCCCGAAAGTTTAGATGTGTAAGCTGGGGAAGGTTCATGTTGCAGAGCAGGGAGCTTATTTATTTACAGGGGTGCCAGCGACCGAAGAAGGGGCTTTGGCTGTCCCCTGTGCTGAGAAGATTGGTCTCCCTCCCTAGCAGTCGAGCCTGGGCGGGGTGAGCTGAGGCCATGCCCCTACCAGGAAGGGCTGGGCTGGGCTTCCTAGGTCGCTGTATTTATCTTTCGTTGTTCTTAATATTTAAAAATAATTTTGAAATCTCCTGCCTGAACACGTAATATAAGCCTTCCTAGGAATTTATACTAAGGAAATAATCGAATAAATCGCCAAAGATGTACAAATCAGGATGTTCGTTGAAATTTTGTTTATAATGCCAAAGAGGAAGGGCGGTAGGCTGTAATTCTCCATTTAGGTAAAGGGGTTTAAGTAAACAGAACTTAAACTGATAGTAACAGTTTAATAGCTGATCCCTTTAATTATCCTGTGTTTAAACACTGTTCTGAGTTTACATAAATTAACTAATTTATTCCTCCTCTCAACCTGGGTATATACTATTATCATTATCATTATCCCCATTTAATAGTTTAAAAAAATGAGATAAACAAAATACCTCAATAAGTAACATGCTAAAATTCAGAGATGAAACTGATATTGGAACCTAGGTAGCCCAGCTTCAGAGTCTGAGCCCTTAACCACTAAGCTAGGCTACACAGCATATGTGGGAACCATGAAGCCGCACTCAAAAACAGTGCAAGAACCCCTGTGAGTTCCCACAAGTAACAAGTAACAGTATTGGAAAGGAAGTAGAGAACTTGGAGAATAATTGTCCATTGCTGAAGGAACATAAAACTCTGCACCCTTTGTAGAAAACAAGGCAGTTCCTTGAAAAATTAGACACAGGATTATGATGTGATCTATCAATTCCACTTCTGAGTATGTACCCAAAAGAATTGAAAAGAGGGACACAAACGTATTTGTATATTAATGTCCATAGCAGCATTATTCACAGTTACCAAATGACAGAAACAATATAAGGGTCTGTTGACAGATGTATGAATAAACATACATCTGTGTTTGTGTGTTAGTGTGTGTGTATGTGTGTGTAATATTATTCAGACTTAAAAAGGAATGAAATCCTGTCACATAATACAACATTGGTGAAACTTGAAGACATCATATTAAATGAAACAAGCAAGACACAAAAGGACAAATATTGTATAATCCCACTTATATGAGATATCTAGATCGATCAAATTCTCAGAGACAGAAAGTAGAAGGAGGCGGGCAGGGGAATGGGGAATTAGTGTTTAACAGTACAGAGTTTCAATTTGGGAAGATGGAAAGTTCTGAATGCACTTAATGCCAGTGAACTTCACCCTTAAAATGGTTATAATGGTAAATTTTATGTTATGTATATTTCACTATGATAAAAATAATGTTGTAAAGCAATGTATTCTTACATGAAAAATATTGATATTGTTTAATGAAAAATAAACTAGCATGGTCCCATTTTTTAAAAAGGTGTGTGGGGTGTGTGTGATCATAGAAAGAAGTTTGGTAAAATGTTATGGGAAGTGTGAGCTTTCTTTACACCATTTTGAGTTATCAGATATGTTCATGGTGAGCTTCTATCACTGTGATGATAAGAAAAAAGCAACAAAGTGATTTCTTTTTTCAACCAAAGAAAAGAACAGAAGGAAACCACCAGCTTCTGGGTAAGTTGAATCAAAGGCATGTGTTTCCTGCCCCAGAGGGGCAGAGATGGGGGACTTCAGGAGGGACAAGGAAGCCAGCCTCTTCTGAGGACCCAGGCTCGGGCCCAGGCTGGGTCTGTAGAGCCTCATGGAACTTAGCATTGAGACGGCTGGCTTCTTCCAAGGGCCCCCTCCTCCCCACCCAGCCCGTGCCCAGGAAGAGCCCTCACCATCCACGTCGTACACCTGGAAGAGGAATTTGAGTTTGTCCATGGGGTTGCCGCGGGTGAGCAGGGTGAGCGCCTCCTGCAGCTCCTCCAGGGTGATGGTGCCATTTCCGTCCGAGTCAAACAGGGTAAAGAACCGCTCTGCAAAGAAGGACTGTGGGGGGGAAGGGTGGGAGACCCGTGTGGCTGCAGACCTGCATGCCAGAGCCCCTGTCGGCCTTGCAGTCTAGATCTCTGGGTGGCCCCTTGCCCAACCTGGGAAAAGGGCGGGTTCCTTCCAGAATTTGTCTCCTCCCCTTTTGGGTGTCCAAGGGGTAAATGAACATGACAGGGACTTATACAGTAGACCCAATCGACATTGTGCTTTTCTGGTTCTTAAGGCTCTCTGCAGCCTACACTTATGGCTTGTTCTTAAGAGCTGACTCAGTTATCAACAGTCGCGTACTGTGCAGCCCCTGCTTTCCAGGCCTGGCAGAAGATGCTGGAGACACACACAGGAATTAAGGTGGGTGGGGCTTGGAGTCCTGAGAGGCCTCCCTGGGGGAGGGAGGAGCTTGTCTGCCTGGGCTTCCTTCCTTTTCTCCTGGGTTCCTAGGGTAGTGCCTTTATCTTTCTACCACCACGAGTGACCTTTACCTTGAGGTGTTCACAGCCTCCTGTTTTGAAGGAACTGAATCATTAGACTGAGTGGGCCAATTGTTCCTTCCCTGTGTTTTCTGTGTTAGGACTTGCGACTTTAGTTTTCCAAGCAGTGCTTTCTGATCCACCCGGGGCACTCAAATGCTCACTGGCCAACCCCTGCCAAGGACACGGCCACCATCCCATGTCAGCTCAGAGGATAGTTGGCTCTCTTTTCCGCTGATAAGTGCACTGTTTTCTTGGCAGGGAGGCCTGCTGCGGTTCAAAAACTTTTCCCTGGAAAGAGGCTAAAGTCAGAGCATCAGCTTTACCCTCAAGGCTAGAGGGAACTGAGAGGCTGTACTATCTCTCAATATTTCTGCTGACTTCCTACTTTGTGGGATTTCTTTTCTTCTTCCTCCTTTGATTTCTTTGTTTTTTGTACTGGGGATTGAATCCTGGGGCACATCCCCAATTCTTTTTTGTTTTTATTTTGAGACAGGGTCTCACTAAATTGCTGATCCTCCTGCCTCAGCGTCCTGAGTCACTGAGATTATTGGCATGAACCACCGCACCCAGCTCCTGTGTTGTTGGAAAACCCCAGAAGGCCATGGCTACTCAGAGGGATGGGAGGGCACCAGCAACCCCTTGCCAGCCCTTCTTAGCTGTGGGGCCTCAAGTCCAAAGGAACCCTGGGGAACTCCCTGGCTCTCCTGTAAGGCCTCTGTCTTGAGAACCAGCTGCTCTTCCTCTATAAAATATAAATGCAGGGCCCCTGCTTCGGGTGGTCACTTGCCTCTTTCACATTCAGTGCTCTTTTGAATTCTTGTAGGTTGATCTCCCTGTCTTTTCCGGCAATGTTCTTGAACTGCTGTGTCACCCACTGAAGCCACTTGGCATCCTCCTCTGCACTTGTGCTGGGAGACAAAGGAGACAAACTTATGGGTTTGGGGTGGCCCTGGGCTCCAGAGGCCTCATGGTGGTGCCAGGACCTCTGCTGCGCTCTAACTCAGGCTCTGGGCCTCACCTGCAGTACGTTCAGCTTTGACTGCGGGTCGGAACCTCCGCAGCCAGGCCTTTTCCTCTCCAAGCCTCCAGCCCTGCCTCCCCACTATGGGGGCTGGCCAAGGCTTGCATCTCTATAGGCTGTGAAAAGACAGGGCCCCCGTGGGACGGACCCCATGATAGGGATCACTCCAGATGATGATGGCTTTTCCACCTCACCTTCACACAGCTCTTCTCTGCTTTCCCATCCTTCCTACCACTCCTGCTTCATTGGATCTCTGGTGGGCCATGGCACTTTGCAGAGAGGAAATGGACTCAGAGCAATTAAGTTTCTTAGTTAAATGTATTCAGCAGGTTAGACACAGAGACAGAGCTCAAATTCAAGTCTGTTCTTTCATCCTGGTATGCCCCAGAGCCTCTGGTCCTGCTCCAACACTTCTAGAATGAGCCTGGCTCAGCCAGGACTGCAGGCCCAGGGTGCAGTCTATGCAGCCACACAGCATTGACCATCTCCCCTCATGCCCTCTGATCAGAGTTTAGTGAGGAAATTAGGGCACCCCTTTCCGTGACACAGTCACAGGGCTCTTGGCAATACAAGAGGTCCCGTGGGGTTCTGGTGGGGGGATTGCTAGGAGGGGGAGGGGAAGAGTAATAGCCTCTGCCTAGCTTGTGTCCCAGCATAATTGTAATCCCCAATGGAGCGACACTCTCCAGCTCACTCCACCCTTACCAGCTTCCTCTGCTGCCTGCCAAGTGGTGCCAGGGTCCCCAGCCTGCCTTCGAGCCCTGCTGCCTACCCATTCCGTGTGACCCTCAGCATCCTGGGGCTTCACTCCTTCTTGGCTTCCTCTGCCCCTATCTTCTGTTTACCACTCTTTCCCTGACATTCCTACTCCTGAGCACTCAGGCACCTCCAAGAGTAGGTGTCCAGGTCAGGCCCAACCCCCAGGAGCTGAAGGGCAAGCCCCTGAGCAGCAGACCCTGAGAGGTGCTGAGCGCTGGGGCTTAGAAGGGTGCATTCCAATGATAACACCAGAGCTGCTGGTTTAACCCTCAGAGAGAACTCCCAAACCTTCAGAGAGGGCTTGTGAGCTACCCTTGCTTGCTCGGCAACTGTGCAAGTTATCTGACTTTTCTGTTTCTCTCGATTTGATCTCTTTGTAAACATGTGTTGGAGGGCTGGGATTGTGGCTCAGTGTTAGAGCACTTGCCTAGAATGTGTAAGGCAATGGGTTTGATTCTCAGCACCACTTATAAATAAATAAAATAAATGTCCATTGACAACCAAAAAAAATTTGAAACAATGCATTATATGTTATATATGTGTGGTATGTATATGAGTATATGTTTATATATAAACACATGTATATACACACATATACATACACAGTACACTAAAGCATATATATGTGCACACATACATATGCTTTAGTCTATTGTGTATGTTTATGTGTGTGTATATATGTGTGTGTTTATATATGCATGTGTATATTTGTGTGTATATACAATAAATGTATATTTTATTGTGTGTGTGTGTATGCATGTATGTGGGTGTATATAAATAATGTATGCCTAACTCCACCTTCCAAATCAGCAAGTCTAGTATAGATTCCTATTTCCCAGAATGGACACAGAGAGATTTCCTCCCAGGGACCCTGAAGTGATTCAGGGTGGAGCTGCGACTAGGTCCCAAGCTCTGGGCCCCTCAAGTTCTCTGTACAGACCACCTAACCAGGTGCTTGCTGCCTCCTCATCTGTAAACACATGGTTCTAGTGAGCCACTGGGACTGTGCACCAAGAAGAGGGTTCTCCAGGCAGCCTCTTCCAAAGGCCAGTTCAAAACCCCTAGGGCCCACCTCACTCTGGAGCAGGAAGAGAGGTGGGGACTTCAGAAAAGTGCAGCTAGAAGTGGCAGGGGCTGTGTCAATGCCCACACCAGCCTCCCACAAAGACAGGGAAGCTTCTGCATCCTCCAAGGCAGGAACACAGGTCTCCAGATTGCCAGGCACTTCATTCCTCCACATATCGGTCCCTAGCCCGTTGTCCCTTTAAGCTTTGGGGTACCCAAATGCAGTAGGTATTGTTATTATTAAATCTGTTGGGCCATCACAGAAACAAATTTGTAAAAATAGAAGGGAACTTCCAATCAGAGCTTCTCATCTCCCAGGGCCTCAACATAAGTCTATTTTAAGATTTGGCTTCTCTGAGCTTCCTAGATAGTTCCACGCCAGCCGCAGAGAACCACTATGTCAGCCCCAGCTCCACCGGCTCCCCCTCCTGAGCAAAAAATCAGCCTAAACTTTCCCTGATAGGAGCTCACTACTTCTGTAGCCACCAGGTCAGCATAGGTGCCCCTGTGCCCTTGAGTTTCACAAGTGATGACTTCCCACATGTGATGTGTCCCACGACCATCACATCTCCCTCTGACATCCAGTCACCTTCCAGCAGTTTCAAGACAGCCCTCCACAGCCCCAAACACCATCCTCCTGAAGAGCAGTGGCTCCCACATTGCACAACCTGCCTGCTGGAAGCAGGGGAGCTTGTGAAAATAAACAGTGTGACGCACCAACTCCAGTGTGAACTGGGCACCTGCACATTTAACCAGCACTCTGGATGCTTGTGACCAATTCAGGGTAGTCGAGGCCCATAATTGGAAAAGTACTGCCTTGAGAGTCGAGCAGAACTTCGCCTCTCAGGACCCCTCAGTGAGTCACTCCACAGAGCTGCGAGAACTCTGGAACACAGCCTGGGCGTAAATGCTGGCCCAGGGAGGCAGGGACTGGATTGCACCTCTCACTTCTCAGAGATGAGATCAGTGTGTCCAGCCAGCAGAATGTGAATGAACAGATAACTCTGGGAAGAGGTGAGAGGAGACTGGGACAGGGAGTGACAAGGTAAGAGCAGAACTCAGATCTCCTAACTTTTGCCCAAAGCAGACCAGCCATCCTTTCTAGGTTTCCCACAAGGAAAAGAACCCCACCTTTTCCCTACCCCTGTCATGGAAAGCTGGACAAATGAGCCACTCACCCTCTGCGGCCTTCAGGGTCTGGCCCAGCTGGTTCTTCAGTCAGCCTCATTCTTTCCCTGTCTTCCAGACCACAGGCTGCAGCCACACTCCAGCTCCTCCTCCCTGACTTTCCTGAAGACCTGCTCACAGCCACAGCCCCTCAGCAAGCCACGTGCTGGCTGATGCCTTGCTTGGTCCAGAGAAATTTCAACCAGAAGGCCTGGAGCAGGGGTGGAGCAAGGGTTTTATAGGGAAGGATGTTGGCTGTCTTCCATCCAATCCAGGGTCTTTCACTTTTCCTTCCTCAAAGAGACTGCTGTGCAGTGAAGGGGTCGGGGGTCATGGAAAACTTACCAACACCCTATGTCCGGCTCTACTTAGTGCCACTTTGTAACCATAGTATCAATTCTCAACAAAAATGTTTGGGCACTTAGTCTGAGCTGTGTACTGTGCTAAGAACTTTCCACGTATTGATCACTGTAATACATCACACAGCCTGGCTTGGAGGGCATCTCTAGCATCATTCTAAAGGGAAGCGCGGAGAGGCAAAGCAGCATGTCCAGGTGGCTCAGCATGAGTTCAATCTGTGCTGGGCTTATTCTGGAGACTGCTATGCCTATGCATGGAGCTAAATTCTGCCCCAGCGTATGTATAAAGATATATTGGAATAATCAGGTGCAGAGGTTCCCAGCTCAAAGAGCCTGGAGTAAAGATCTCCCACAGGAAAAGAACCCCACCTTTCCCCTGTCCCTGTCATGGAAAGCTGGAAAAATGAGCCACCCACCCTCTGCAGTCTTCAGGGTCTGGCACAGCTGGTTCTCTAGACAGCCTCATCCTTTCTCTGTCTTCCAGACCACAGGTCCCAGAAAGGCTGCTGTCCAGATAGCAGCCTGTGTGCTAAAAGCTCTTTTAAAAAAAGCAGCCAGAGAAATTGTCTACTTCCCCAGATATGGTCACCGTGCAACTAGAATTCAAAGTGCTTTTTACTTTTCCTCTTGCCTTGCAAGAGATGAGCTCCAAATGATAACTCTGACCATCTGGTGCAGATTAGGACCACCTAGTGGAGATTTTAGATGTCTCTGATTGTGATATTATGATGATACATATTTTCATATTTTCACCCACAATTCCTGGCTCATAACTCTATTTTCAAAGTGGACCAGAGAAACTAAAATTTCTCTTCCCCAAGGGAAGCTGTAGAAACTATTATTCCCTCAACTTTCTGTCATGGAGCAGATCATAAAGAAATTCTCTGACCTACTTTGTCAGATCATCAGACCCCCATATCTCAGAAGGAGTCCTGCTCCATACCCAGCAAGAAAGAGTGCTACATAGGGAGGCTGAGTCGAATCTGGACAGACGGGCCTCACAGGGTTTCCCAGTCTAGTACGTGTAAATCATAACTTACTCTCTCTCTCTCTCTCTCTCTCTCTCTCTCACTCTCTCTCTTTCTTTCTCTTTTTCTGTGCTGGGGGTTGAACCTAGAGCTTCACACATTCTAAACACATGCTCTAACCACTGAACTATACTCCCAAACCAGACCATAACCAGATCATGCCCAGCACACTTTTACATGACTGTTCAAGCTTCAATGGTGCCTACACAACAAAACTTCCATGAAATCCCCGAAGGCCAGTGTTCAGAGAGCTTCCAGCTATCTGGACACGTGGTAGTTACTTGAAGCCATCCTGCCCTTTGCTTATGCCTTTCCCTGTGCATCTCTTCATCTGTAATTTTGTAATGTCCTTTATAATAAACCAGTACACGTGTGTGTCAGCCACCTTTTCATCACTATGACCAAAATAACCTAACAAGAACAACTTAGAGGAGGGAAAGTTTATTTGGGGCTCATGGTTTCAGAGGTTCAGTCCATGATCAGCCAGCTCCGTTACTCTTTGCCTGAGTGAGCCAGAGCACCGTGGCAGAGGGGCATGGTGGAGGAGCGCTCTTGCATCATGGCAGCCAGGAATCAGAGAGAGAGAGCAAGCAAGGTGCCAGGTAAATATAAACCCCAAAGGCACACCCCCAGTGACCCAGCTCCTCCAGCCATGGCCCACCTGCTGATCTCCCATACAGAAGTCTTTTCCAACTACTGATCCATCAAATTAATTAATCCATGAATTCGGTTACAAGCTCTCATGATCTGATCAATCCACCTCCTGCATTAACGCGGGAGCTTTTGAGGGACATCTCATACCCAAACCTTAACAATGGGTTCCCCCTGAGTTCTGTGAGCAACTTTAGAAAATTAATTGAACCCAAGGAGGGTGTTGTGGGAACCCTAATTTACAGCCAGCCTGACAGAAGCACAGGCAAAACACCCTGGAACTTGAGACTGGCATCAGAAGTTGGGAGCCAGTCTTGGGAGCTGGGCCCTAGATCTGTGAGATCTGATCCTGTCTCCAGGTAGACGGTGTCAGAGCAGAATTAAATTAGAAGACACTGAAGAATTACTTGTTGATTACTACTGGGGAGAAGTCGCCACACATTTTGGGATTGCAGAAGTGATCTGAATTGTGAGTGTAGCGTAGGAGAAACTAAGCTGAAGTTTGCTTTTTCTACTCAATGGTTAACTTCTAAAATTAGGGAATAATTACTGCTTTTCTTTGTTTCTTATTTTGGGAGGTTGCCAGGGATTGAACTCAGGGGTGCTCAACCACTGAGCCACATCCCCAGCCCTATTTTGTATTTTATTTAGAGACAGGGCCTCACTGAGTTGTTTAGTGCCTTGCTTTTTTGCTGAGGCTGGCTTTGAACTCGTGATTCTCCCGCTTCAGCCTCCGGAGCCACTGGGTTTACAGGTGTGCACCACAGTACCCTGCTTTGTTTCATTTTAAAGAGTGGTAAACACAAATTCCTCCATGCCACAGTCCGGCTGCAGCAAAATAACCGGGGGGTGACGAACAACTTGTGTAGATTGATACAGCAAGAGTAGGAGCCCTTTATTGTAGGACAACAGAGGTATTTATACATTTTACACAGCTTATCTTAATTAGCATAAACTCGATACAGTAGTCAACCAATAAGGAATCTCCACACTTAATGGCTCGCTGGTGTTACTTCACAAACCACTCCCTCTGGCAAAATGCCAGGCGCCATCCAGACTTGTTTACAGACTCTAACATTTCCCCCTTTTGTTTAATTTAAATAACGACCATAGTGGTTTTTACACAAACACCATAAATAATCTGCTACAAGCAGAAGGGGAGGATACAACATGTCACAATACCAAGCCAATTGATGGCTCCATGCAAGATACCCTTGGAAAAATTATACCAGCAATGACACCGTTAGCAAAGATACCGAGTTACAATTTGTTGTAGATTACAGTTTGTCTCAGTCCAGGTAAAGCAGTGTCTCAATAGATTAACTCACAGTCCAGGTAAATCACAGTCCAGGTAAGTTCTGCAGGCAGCTAGCTTAAGTTCACAGTCCAGGTAAGTTCTGCAGGCAGCTAGCTTGATCCGAAGTCTCGTCCGGTTCTCAGCAACACTGGAAATTCTTCCACCCTCGTCCTCACTGGCACTGGGACGAAGGTAGGAACTCCAGCAATGATGTTAAAGAAAATCCTGTAGTATTCCAGCAGGCACTAAGAAAACAACCTTCTGGAAAATTTAGTACATTATCTCAAGGTTTTTTTTTTAATTTAATTGATTTTATTTTTTAAATACATGACAGCAGAATGCATTACAATTCTTATTATACATATAGAACACAATTTTTCATATCTGTTTGTATATAAAGTATGTTTACACCAATTCATGTCTTCATATATGTGCTTTGGATAATGATGTCCATGACATTCCACCATCATTGCTAACTCTCTGCCCCCTCCCTTCCTCTCTCTCCCCTCTTTCCTCTCTAGAGTTTGTCTATTCCTCCCATGCTCCCTCTCCCTACCCCACTAGTCTCCTACATCAGAGAAAACATTTGGCATTTGTTTTTTTGGGATTGGCTAACTTCACTCAGCATTATCTTCCCCAATGCCATCCATTTACCTACAAATGCCATGATTTAATTCTCTTTTATTGTTGTTGAGTAATATTCCATTGTGTATATATGCCACATTTTTTTTATCCACTCATCTACTGAAGGGCATCTAGGTTGGTTCCACAGTTTAGCTATTGTGAATTGTGTTGCTATAAACATTGATGTGGCTGTGTCTCTGTAGTATGCTGTTTTTATTTTTTTTTAATTGGTTGTTCAAAACATTACAAAGCTCTTGACATATCATATTTCATACATTTGATTCATGTGGGTTTTGAACTCCCAATTTTACCCCAAATACAGATTGCAGAATCACGTTGGTTACACATCTACATTTTTACATAATGCCCTATTAGTAACTGTTGTATTCTGCTACCTTTCTTATCCTCTACTATCTCCCCTCCCCTCCCCTCCCATCTTCTCTCTCTACCCCATCTACTGTAATTCATTTCTCTCCTTGTTTATTTTTCCATTCCCCTCACAACCTCTTATATGTAATTTTGTATAACAATGAGGATCTCCCTCCATTACCATGCAATTTCCCTTTTCTCTCCCTTTCCCTCCCACCTCATGTATCTGTTTAATGTTAATCTTTTCTTCCTGCTCTTCCTCCCTGCTTTGTTCTTAGTTGCTCTCATTATATCAAAGAAGACATTTGGTATTTGTTTTTTAGGGATTGGCTAGCTTCACTAAGCATAATCTGCTCTAGTGCCATCCATTTCCCTGCAAATTCCATGATTTTGTCATTTTTTAGTGCTGTATAATACTCCCTTGTGTATAAATGCCACATTTTTTTTATCCATTCATCTATTGAAGGGCATCTGGGTTGGTTCCACAGTCTAGCGATTGTGAGTTGTGCTGCTATGAACATCGATGTAGCAGTATCCCTGTAGTACGCTCTTTTAAGGTCTTCAGGGAATAGTCCGAGAAGGGCAATAGCTGGGTCAAATGGTGGTTCCATTCCCAGCTTTCCCAGGAATCTCCATACTGCTTTCCAAATTGGCCGCACCAGTTTGCAGTCCCACCAGCAATGTACAAGAGTACCCTTTTCCCCACATCCTCGCCAGCACTTGTTGTTGTTTGACTTCATAATGGCTGCCAATCTTACTGGAGTGTATCTCAAGGTTTTTTACATTTGAAATAGGCCTTAATATAGTGCTCATTACTGATTAGCTTCCTGGTGTGGGAGAACCATTGTAGTTACTGGCCTTGGAAAT